TTTTTTTTTTTGGTATCGTTTCTTCATGTGCTTGTTGATTGTGTCTAAAATAAATGTTTTGTTAGATGAGAACTAGATCGATACTACAGTGGAAACAGCTCCTGAAACAAAGTGCACCACCACTCAGAGAGATGCTGCGAGGGCTTTCTGCGCCGCAGAAGTCCCAGAGGTCCCTACTTGCTCACAGGTAAAGCAGCTGTAGGACGGGCACTTTGCCCTGTCCCAGACACTTCTACACTCACTTTCAGCAGGCCCAAAGTGGAATACTAAAATCTGGCTGGGAGAAGGATTATGCTTTCAAGAAATTCAGTGTACGAGAGTATTTGCATAGTACATGGAGGGGAAACAGGTGCCATTTATTCATATACTGGAGTAACGACAGGAGGACGCAGGATGTGCTGTGGCCCCAGCTCTACTTTGGTGACAGTATTGTATTTTCCTACATACATTTAATTCCCCACAACAAATGGAAAAAAAAAACAATTACAGGTACTCCAGTTTGGAGTGGTGAGGACATCTGAAAGCACGAGAGGTTTTCTGACCAGCTGTGACTGATTGATAGTGCAATTTCACACTAATTTGGAAAGGATTAAGTAAGACATCCAGTTTCTGAACAGGGCTGGTTTAGCTCTAACTACATCTGCTGTGTGTGCAGATCCCTTCAGTGGAAAAAGCAGCTTTCACTGGACATTTTAAGAAGATGATAAAGCTGTTCTACACCTGCATTCAAACTACTACAAGGCAATATATTACCTACGATGACAGTTGATGACTGTTTTCACCCCAGAAGCAGAGAGTACCTGAAAACACCCCGTGGACATGGGCTAAACCACATCTGTCAATACGCTGTGCGTGAACGAAGACACTCACCGTGACTACACCAGTCTAACTGTAAACCTGAACTTTGTTGCTACTAGACAGGAATAACATTTTTCATATTGCAGCTACAGATTTAATAAATAAATTGCATATATTGTGCTTTATAAATTAAAATGCATTCCAAAGTGAGGCAATGCTAAACGATGAATCTATTTAACCGTCCCAAACTGGCCACTCATTCTGGTTCCAGAACCAGCCCCCTTCCTCACTCAGCTCACAAAGGCAGAAACAGTGTCTGCTTCTGCCTCTTAAACAAAAGCTCCCTCCCCCAAAAGTGATCAAAAAAGAGTTTACTTAGGCACTACCGCAAATGTAAGTTGTCTAATAACCATTACTTCTAACTTAATAAGGGGAGGAGGTGAAGAAAGTCACAACGAACGTTTTGATTCCTTCCTCTTCAGCGTATTCTTCTCCCTATCTGACGCTCTGAGACATGTGCAAAGGTGTCAGCATCTCTTCAAAGATAGCTCCTTTTACATTAGATCCCCTCAAATTAGCTTCTTGTAGATCACAACCTGATAGATCACAATTCTAAAGGGTAAAAGAAAAATAAAGGTTAATTGAATAGACCCAGAACTTAGTTCAAAAACTTAACCTTAACTCTATTTGTAGAGAAACCTCAATTCCCTCCACAAATCCTGGTGCAAACTTCTAGGCTATCACTCTTGTTTAGAGTTTTAATTATTTCTGGTGAGAGAGCAGTTCCTTTTCACTGTTACAGCTGGATTATTTGCTGTTGTTAGACTTACACTGTTTATATCACATTATCTTCCAGGAGTTACTAACTCTTGCTGAGCAAAGCCAGGAAGACGCCACCTCTTGCAAACTCACCAGATATTACTCCAAATACTTCTCTAGTACTTGAGGAAGAACAGCCACGTACACAGCTTGCAAAATGAGCTACTTTGTCTTTCTAATTAATAGACACAGCGGCGTATCACGTGCCACCAGGCAGGTAAGATTCCATTGTTTCTCTACACATGATGTCCCAGGATCAAAGAACCCCCCCACAAACCCAGGTGACTGCATTTCCCTTCAGCGAGGGAACGATCTCATCCTAAGAGTTAAGTTTAATCTTATTTCCATTCATCACTTTTGAGATGAAACAAGCCATTTCGGTGTCTTTGAGGGGCTGGCAAATCCCAAAATTTAGACTCACCTTCCACACTGAGGCCAGAATGAAATGTGATTCCTCAGATCACCCATTGCTCATTAAGACTGAAAAAACACTAATTCACTCTGTCTAGTTTGAAGCTGGAGAACTCAGCCAAAAGCCAGCAATCCCCAAAATTTTACGAGTTGACTAGTTAGTATTTAGAATGAATCATAACTCACTTCCAAATCAGTTCCTGCCAAAGTTGCTCCTCTAAGATTACAGTTTTTTAGTTTTGCATTTTTCAGCGTCGCGACTCTTAGATTAATTCCTGTCATTTGACTGCCTTCCATGTCAACACCTTTCAGGTTAGCACCTAAAACACACAAAGAGTAGTTTTATGAGGAAAAACCATCAGAAACAACAGCAGCTCAAGAATGATGCTTCCTCAGAGCCATGTAAATTGATAGAGGTCAAGGTAGAACTTGGAATTTAATGATCGCACAGTCGCGCACACTAGTATTTGTGGCCTTTTCTCCCGTGGACTGTACAAACCTCAGCTAAACCTCTCACAGATTTACAAACACGTGGTTCAGTTTCCACAGGGTACCTAACACCAAAGCTTCTTACCTTCCAAATTAGCTTTAAGGCCTGATGGATCTTCAAAATTGCACCCTTTCAGAGATGCTCCTTCTGCGTTGGAGCAAAGCATCTTTACCCCTTGGAGGTTCGCACACTGATGGAGACAGACATGTCAGTGAGAGCCATAAAAAAGATGAACAATACCAAAAATGATGAGTATGGTTTTCATCTCTGTTTCAGAAGGGAATCCTATTAAAGCACAACAGCCTTGTTACTGTGAAGACACGTAAAAACCTGCTATAAAATTACTTGTCATCAGGAATTCTCACCCACCGCCCTCTTTTTTTTATTATTTTTAACTTAAGGTAGTTTCAAAAAGCTTTTGAAGTGATCTAACCAGAACAATTGCAGAAAACATTGAAGAACTACATGTTTTACACTCCTCTGCTTGTTCCAATTCCTCTTCCCTTAAAACACCTAAAGGACAGCCCAGACTTTCCGAGGCACAGCAACCCTTACGTCGAGCACTGATCCAGAGAGGTCAGCTCGTTCCAGGTTGGCGCAGCACAGGTTGGCGTGGGCCAGGTTGCAGCGGCTCAGGTTGGCCATCTTGAAGTTTATGTAGCGAAGATCTAGACGTGAAAGATCCGCCCCGCTGAAATTGAGACCCTAAAAATGAAATAAAAAACCATCAGAAGTTACAGAAGGTAAGGTGTAGCTCTGAATCACAGAATCTTCTAGGTTGGAAGGGACCTTAAAGATCATCTTGTCCAACCGTCAACCCAACTGACAAAAATAGACACCCACACAACAAACAAGGAGCATCATCACTAAACCCTATCTCCCAGCACTACATCAACCCGGCTTTTGAACACCTCCAGGGATGGGGCCTCAACCACCTCCCTGGGCAGCCCATTCCAATGCCTGAGAACCCTGTCAGTGAAAAAATTTTTCCTAATATCCAGCCTGAACCTCCCCTGGCGCAACTTGAGGCCATTTCCTCTTGTCCTGTCGTCTGGGACTTGAGAAAAGAGACCGACCCCCATCTCTCTACACCCTCCTTTCAGGGAGTTGGAGAGAGCAATAAGGTCTCCCCTCAGCCTCCTCTTCTCCAGGCTGAACACCCCCAGCTCCCTCAGCCTCTCCTCATCAGACTTATTCTCCAGACCCCTCACCAGCTTTGTCGCCCTTCTCTGGACCCGCTCCAGCACCTCAATGTCTTTTTTATGGTAGGGGGCCCAAAACTGGACACAGTACTCAAGGTGAGTACAGTACTCAAAACACTTAAGAGCATCATGTATGTGTCTATATAAATACACACAGTTATAGATATATACTCATGCACAAGACCATCTATTCTACTATGTAAGACTCATGAAATGTAAATGCAAAGCTACCAAGCATCGTCCTTGGTTACTCTACTCATTTTACATTTAAATAGAATGGCTTAACAAATTGAGCCTTGTGGAAACCTTCAACCTCAAGAAGGAAAGCAGCCCCCACAGCGCACTTAAATTTCATGTTAAGGTCACTCTGCCCCAACTTGGAATGAAAACTCAGTGAATAAGCAAGGGGGGAAGCACACGTCATTTGAATTTCATGTTGTCGCGTGATGCTGCAGGATATTTCCCCACCAGATGCTACAGCTCAAGACAAACTCTGGATTTTCATACCTGACATCGCAGCTCAGACTTGGTTGGGGTCGCCAGGAGGAATCGGACAAACTCCTTTCGAGATATAGGAGAGTGGTCCTCAGCTGGCTGGGAGTTCTGTGGAGAGAGTTGTTTAAAAGCTAACACGGACAGGACTCAATTATGCATTGCCTGGAAGAACGGGACACGTGCATTCATGTATTAAAGAAAACAAGTTACCTTAATAGCTATCTCGAGATGTTCAATTAGTGAATCGATACCAAAAAACCTGGCTTCTTCCAAAACACCTAACAAAACAAAGCAGTATTTGTTATTTCCAGGGAGTCGTTAAACAAGAGAGCAGCACTCTTCTTCCCGTACTGGAGAAGGCACCAAGAACATGCCAAAATCTTTGGGTTAATCCATCCTTACTACTGGAGGAGCTTCAATTCAATCAACTTTCCCTACTTGTTAGACATTTTACACATTTTAGCTACACTAGCAAAGATGAACAGATCACTTGTTGAAGTTTAAGGACTCAAAGAAACGCATAAAGTAATAAAAGTGACACAGACATACATTATATCAGAGGTAACTGGACAGAGGAAAAGTGAGTTTGCTTGCAGCTAAAAGGAAAAAAATAAATCAGAAAGGATGTTTCCAGTACCAGTATTAGGTTAAAGATACCAAATCCAGAATTACAGCCAGATACTAATCCAGTGCAGAGAAATTTTAATGCTCTGAAGATTAAGTTTAAACAGTGTATCTTCATAAAGCAAGCATATAGAATTGCAGTGTTTGAGAATAAATTCACCAAAGAAAAGTCCCGAACATTCAGATGAGCATATAGAAGTCCCACTGACTTTACTGTGTTTACCTGAGGGCAAATTTTAACTTCTAAAGAGTAATAATTTAGGAGATGTCATACAGGTAATACCTACCTAGCAAATTAATGCCATCATTTACAATGAGCTGTCCGTGACGCAAATAGTTCAAAATTGGCTCAAAATACTCTGGACTGCGGTCAATTAGGAATGCTCCTCTATGATCTTGCTTATTTCCCCAAGCATCTGTTTCCACAACATATATATATAATTAAATTTGATATATTAATAGAAGAGCATTTGCTTCAGTTTCAGATTTTTACTACCAAAGGGTACTGGATTATGAAACATTCCACTTGAAAGGGAGTTTCTTAGAGAAAAGGAAGGGAAATGAGAGTGAGGGGGTAAAAAAAATCACCTTAAAATAAACTCACTCCTGCTATAATTAAAACATTTTATCACTACCTAGGAATCATTGCTAGAATAAAAACACCATTGAGATGTCAGTCTGCCCCTGTTTCCTAAAGTCTGTCTCGTACAGTGTTTGCCCATTGACTCTGTTGACAAAACTGAGCAAGATGCAACAATAAGATGAAAATCTAAAGATCAAACAAGCAAAAATGACCCCAAAATATTAACTATGGATGGAAGTTATATTTTCAGTTTGTGAGATGATACGTGTTACATGGGCAACAGAAGAATACACAATTATTAAAAAAAAAAGTTATACATTCTGCTTTGTTACTTTAGGTACTTTTGATATTTTAACGTAGGAACAAAAGTCTCAACTTGACAGTGCCTTTTGCCTACTGTGCTAATTTGTTAGCTTAAAAAATAAAGTTGATTTCAATATACTAACCTTTATCTTTAAACATGTGGGCCAACATACTGTCAGGTTCTTTATTAACCAAAGTGCTCCTAGAAAACAAAAGCAGCACAATTTTATCTTTAGCTGGAATGTTTTCCTCAAGAGACAAACCTGCTCTTGGAGTCTGTTTCCTGCCCGTGGTGCGTGAGGCGCATTCCAACAGCTACTCCGTACCCATTTCATTTCATAGGCTGTGACAGCAAAGTATGTTTCTGACCTGAGGTACTGTAAAGGTATTTTAAATACAAAGCACTTAGTTAAATGAAATATTCCAAGGATATTCCAGGCCTGTTCAGTTTTTTTGCCAATTTGACTTTGCGTGTAAACTAAGAATTGATTTGTTGCAAAACTGTCGCAGCAAATACGAAATACAGAGAAAGCTGCACAAGTCAAAGACCTCCTACTCCACGGGAAGTTATTTTACTATCTCCTTTGCAAGAGTATCTGAAGCCTCCCCAACTGAGGACATTGTAACTACTTTACTGAAATCAAGTCCTTTAAGAACAAAACCAACTGGTTGCATTTGTACCGTGTAGTGGTGAAGTATCGGCCTCCGACATTGAGCGTCAACCAGTCAGTGTGGGAGCCTGTTAGCTCCTCGTGAGGTCTCCCGTCCGTCTGGGGATCTGCACAGATGACAAACACACAGGAATTATCAGAAAAATTCTGAGTATTTCTGAGTCCTCCATATGGTAAGAGGTATCTTCTGAAACTACCAGAAAATAAAATTTTAGATTTACATGAAAGCAAAATTAAACCTCTTTCCGTTAAACAGAAGGTTAAATGTAAAAATTACAGAGACTTACCAATGAATGGTTCCCCTTCACAGACAAACAAAACATCATCGTCCCTGAAAGGTGAGGAGACAGGGGAAAGGAGAAAAAAGGAAAATAGTGATTAATTGTGATTTTTTTGTTCATCTAAGTGACAGCGGGAACCACTCCTGATTAGTTTCATGTAAATGATAATCAGTTGCCATTGGTTAGAACTTCAGTATCTGATTTTTATCTTAATTTTGCAGGTTGCAGTGGATTGTAATGCGACTGACTTCACTGGAGATGTTATCTGTACCAACCAGGTAGGGATCACTCGTTACTCAACCAGTTTAGTTTTACAAAACAGTTGCTTTTCTCCCCACTCTTGGAGTATTCTGTGAAGCCAAAGCAATGCTACAGTTTATCTCCTTTTCAAAAAAACCCTCATCTGAGCACTGACTAGAACAGTGGGATTTCCCTGGTACCTACACTGCACTGAGTCAACACAGGAGGATGTTTAGAAGCATAAAATGCAGTTTGTATCAAGTTCCAATTCATGAAGATAGAAATGCTTTGAAATTCAAAAGCCAGTATTATTTTAACTTGAGGCATGAATGCACCTTTGCTGGCTGGCAACGATAAGATCTGTTTTTAAGGAAAGCACTGGTTATTGATTAAGGTCAGAGGATTAATAGGCTACTAAGTCTCTTAATCTGCATCCGTGGTTTGACTTTTATTGGATAAGCCTTACCTAATCAAAGCGATATCATCAATGAGTCCACCTTTTCCATTGTAAACACTGGTGGCTTTTATTCCAAGCTTATTACTAGCCACAGACAGCAAATCTGATAAAGTCCCATACACAGCCACGACCTGTGGGAGAGAGAAACAGCTATAGGCACTGTGTTTGGATAGTTTCTGCCACTTCAGACTTATTGCCAGGGCTGTCAGTAGCTTCTTACGGGGTGTAGGGGGAAGGTATGTATGGATCTTTAACAAAAAAAAGGAAACAGACCAACTTTGATGGTGGCAGACACACAGCTGCTTTAAAATGGGGTGATTTCATGGAATTGTGAGAGTTGGAAGGGAGCTCTAGAGATCATCTAGTCCAACTCCCCTTGGAGTGGGACATCACTCAGGAGCATCCAGGCGGGGCTTGAAAAATCTCCAGATTTGGGACTCTACACCCTCCCTGGGCAGCCTCTGCCAGGGCTCTGCCACCCTCACCCCAAACAACTTCTTCCTCCCATTGCAGTGGAACTTCCCCTGCTCCAGCTTGTGCCCGTTGCCCCTCGGCCTGTCCCTGGGAACCACGGAAAGAGTGAGGCTCCAATGACTTGCACATTTCTTGGCCAAAACTCAAGGTACTGAGGTGGCAGCAGCAGTGAAAGGAGGAGTGGTGGTACAATAACAATATTAAGACTCAATTATTTATTTCCAAGTCTCTCCCTCATTTATTTTCCTCTCTAAACCCAAAGATTAAACCACCATCACATAAACCATCATCATTCCCGAGACGTGGATGGGAAAAATCCGGGATCCCGGGCAGCATTTAGCAGCTCCACATCCCGGGGCCTTTCCCGGGGCTGTCTGTGCCCCGGCCGGGCCTCGGACCCTCAACGATCCTCACTCCCGGGACGGGAATATGGGATGGGAATATGTAGGTTTTAAACGAGAAAGCGGAGTTTAAGGAAGATTATTTTTTGGCTGTCCCACAGGGTACACACACACAGCGTCGGCCGCGGCAGAGCCCTGACACCCCGCAGGACGTCCCTGCCCCCCTCCCCGCCGCTCCCGAGGGCCCGTGGAACCGGATCCCAGGCGACACCACCGAGGGGAAGGTGACTTTAACCGCAACCCCGGCGGGAAGTTCTCGGCTCCTCACCGTTCCCCTCAGCGCTCCCAACGCGGAGGCTCCGGCCGCCCCTATTCGCCGGTGAGTCACCCCCCCGGGGCCGTGCGCGGCCTTCGGGCACCTCAGCAGCCCCGGGCCTAGGCCCCAACTGCCGCCGCCGAGCCCGGGGAGGGGGCGGCGGGACCGGCGAGGCCCCTCTGCCGCAGCCCCGGGCACCGCGGCCCTGAGGAGCGGCTGAGCGCTTCTCCCTCACGCCCAGCCGGAGCCGGCAGCCCCGTCCCAGCGCGGTAGGACCCCGACCCCCCCCGCCCGCCCCTCACCTTCCCGTTCCGGGGGCTGCCGTTAACGAACAGCGTGACCCGCCTCATGCTGCGGCGGCGGCGGCCCGCTCCTCCCTGCCGAACCCGGAAGGCAGCGGCCGATGACCGACGTGAGCCACGACCAATGGCAGCCGCGCCGCCCCGAGGACGCCGTCCAATAAGAAACGCGCTCCCGCCGGAGTAGCGGGTGGGCGGGGAAATTGCCACGGAAGCGGCGGGGGGGTGGGCCGGCAGGGGCGCTGCCGGCAGCCAATCAAAGGGGGAAGAAAGCCCTATATTTGCATAAAGCATGACTCGAAGTGGAGTCGCCCCTGATTGGTGCGGGCTGTCACGTGGGCGCGGGTCGTTGACTGAACTTTTTTTTTTTTTTTTTCAAAATGGTCTTTTAGCGCGTGAGCAACGGTTCGTGATCCCTCCGCGCGGGGAGCAAAAGAGTTCCTCCTT